TATATATATAGTATAATATAATATATATAATATATATTATATTATATAATATAATTTTTTAATCTGATTAATATCATGAGCTGACTATCAATTTCAATTTGACTATCAATGTTTTTAGCAAACTTTAATTAAAATTTAATTAAAATTAAAACTAGCTTAACCTAATTTAAATTGTTTCGACGAAAAATTTGTATCAATAATTATTTTTAACACAAGAACCATAAAATAAAATCTTATTCAATCTTACTCAAAATAATAATACTTAAAATAATCTTAACGATATATAAAAAATCGAGATCGGAAAATAATAATTTTTTTGTAAATAATTACCAAATACTTATGTAATCCAAAAATCCAAAAAACTTTAAAACTCTTTTACATTTCGACGAAAAAAAAAAACATCGAATACAAAGGAACCAGGACATATTCTTCGGTCTGCTCGTCCCGATGTTCCTTTTTTTCCGCCACACATACCATCGTTCCCCTACTGCAGATGCATTCTGTTTGACTCTATTACGTAGCCATAGGTACACACGTATCTATATATATATATACACGTAACAGGACAACGTTTGTTTCTCTCGCTAATTGCTCAAGCATTTGGTGTAACGGGAGCATGTTCTCGTGTCCCAGAAAGCACGAGGCGCGCGAAAGTCGAAGACACGGCCACAATTCCTGTTGGTATATCTTCTTCTCGTTTCCCTCTCCTCTCTTTTCCTCTCACCCATTGCGCTCGTCTTCCTCTCATTATTCTGTCTGGTTGGACCTTCTCTCCTGGCGCAACTACCCACACGCGACACAGAGGAAACGACGAAGAGTGGAGGTGCACCGTGGCTAACGTTAATGCCACGGTATAACAGTATTTATTACCGACTCTCTATCGCTTCCACCATAAATACATACGTACAATGAGTCGTTAAGCGATCGCCCAGCCCCGGAAATAGACCGTGACCGAATGGTGAATAAGAGACAATCCCCGGAAGAGCGCTCAGACGACCACCGGAAGGTTAACTACCGTTGTATTCGGGAATACGCGTGGTATGCCTATACGCCTCCTTCCTCCACCTTTCCGCTCCACTCTCGTCTCCTTCCTTCTCTTCCGCTCTATTTTTCCGCTCCTGATTCGTCTAACGGATGCTTCGATCCTGATATTTATATATGTAATTATATATGTATCAGTGGTTAGTTATCGTTTGAAAAGTTTTGAATAACAAGTTTTGGTAACACATCACGTGGAATATGGATTTTCCAAGATTATTATTTAAAATAAAGTTTGTAATTTGATTCTTCAAGGACTAAAATTTAAATTTTGTTTTTTTTTTCTTAAGTGTTTTAAGTTTTTCATAAGTATTATTCAAAATGTTTGGAAATTAACTGCTTGCCTTATAATTTGATAAGTTGATGATGAGTTGGATCGGTATTTAATTTCGATCTTTATATATGAATCGAAATTTTATATATGAATCAGTCAAAAATAAAAATGTTTAAAATTGATGATGCATTTATGAAATATAATAGAATTTGTGTTAAATAGTTTCCAAAAATTATATATCTTCCAATTTTATATTAGAAACTCATGATGTTTCAGAAATATCGCGTTATTATAAGATAAAGGATTGAATTGAAAGAAAGGAAGGAATGTTAAAAAATTGAAGAATTATTCATTCTGAAGTGGTTTCACAAATATATAAATTCAGAATCTAGTAATTGAATGTTTTATTAAATAATGTTTATTGTGCGTGATTTTTCAATTAGCTTAATTCTATTATATGGTATTTTATTATAAAAATATAATAAATTGTGTATTATAATGAATTGTATAGATATAGAATTCATATGATTTTTTCTTATTTAACAGATTAAAAATTGTTGATAAAGTTTATGAAATAATTAAATTAAAAGAATAAATGATACGATTAATTTTAAAAATTTAAATTAGCAAATAAAATTATTAAAAAAAATCAGGGAATTATTAATAATAATTAATTGTAAATTTTTATTGTAATAATTTTTATTTTATCTTTAAATATGAAGAACATATATATATATATATTAGTTAAATCATTTTAATAATAGAAGATTATTAAGAATTCAGTTATTTCTAAGAAAAAATATTATCAACAATATTAAAAGTTATGAATATTTTATGTTTTATTTTGACACCATTATTGGATTCGTATACGAAGTTTCTCATCTCATTTTGACATTTCTCATTATTATTATTTATAAAAAAAATTTGAATAACATCTATTATTAATTTTTTTGTAAGTAAAGATGCAAAAGATTATAAAGTCAACTTTATTTTTATGAATAGAATTATATTATTTTTTAATATATCAATCAATCAAATGACATTTTCTATAAAAAAGTATTAATTCATATGTCAAAAAATTATTGATTTAATAGATATTT